GCTTTTACCGATTGTTTGGCGCAGATAGCCTAGCTGCTTTGCGCCATAAAACACCAACCAACCAACTTATTTTTCTTTAGTTTATGTGCACAGTATAATGCCATTTTCTTCTTTCCTCACCAGCGGAGACAACGTCATTTCTATACGCTTACCATTTGTTTGTTTGATAGTTTGGTGAGAATGAAGATACCTTTTATGCTCAAATTACGTTTGGAAAGTATAATAAATAAGACATATCGCTCAAACTGTTTGGTAAAAGAAACGTTTTCTTGAAGGTCCTCCTCTTTGGTGCCTTTTCTCCTCTTATAGAAACATACAAATTTTTACAGAATGTGAGGGTTATACTTTTGCTCATTAGACATTTAACTACAAGTGTGTGGACTATTTTAACGTCCATTTAACCTTGCATTCAAATTATCTGTGTTCGCAGGTTACAATCTTTCTGTCATTTTAAAAACAATGTATCTACGAACGCTTCAAACAAGGGACGTTGTAGTTAACCATGTGGACTTTGTATGAAATGTAATCTTGGTAACAAAGCTTAATATAACGTACAAGATAAGCAACAAACTAAGTATTTGAGGGGATTTGTTTCATTTTATAGCATCCAAGCATTACGGGTTATCCGTTCTATACAGTAGTATTCATAACATTAGGTATCCCTCCGCGTTAAAGAATCTAAACTTTACAATATTTATGTAATCGGTGTATTTGGTACAAATATTTATTTACCTATCTGTCTATTTTATATACTACAATCTCTCTATCTCTTTTTTAATCTCTTACAGCCTGTTTATCTATATATATACACATTACAGTGAACTAAACCCCTGTATACTATATAATTCACGATAATGTTTTTGTGTTAAATTATCTGTTTGTACGCAAACTCTTGTCACAGTTTTCGAGCTAACAGTACTAAACTTGGCATTTGAACTCGGGGTGGCCTCTATGAAGGGGAGCTAAAACGCACCTGGAAGGTCACCCATGCCTAGTGAGGGTCTATAAATATGTATGTAGGGTTGTCGGACTCGAATCTGACATCGGAATTTGTGTTCCTGACTCCCCTTCCTCGAGGTCCAGTGATACTGTTTTTGAAAATGTGTTCATACTCCCACTCACAGGTTAGCGGAGTCAAACTTGTCACAATTGTTCAGATACTACGGGCAGGTGTCCTAACATGTGTTTTTTTTTGTACTTGCCCCCCTTCGGGTAGCTATAGAAATAATTGGGAATAATGGAGGAGCTTGATTGGTACATTGCGGCCTCTGTGCATCTGATCCCCGCAGCTGAGCGCGGGTATTTTATGCTAGTCTCAATAAAGACACGTCTAGCGCACAGTTCAGGAAATAAATAGATATACATTTCATTGACTGACACGTGTACTATTCTACAAAAGGGAATACATATATATATATAGGTGTAATGGTCTTGTATATATGAAAGTAATGGGAGAATGTGTTCATCACTTACGAAAATATTAACTGGCAATGGTGTCCATAAGCAATGTCTTTCATTCATGAATACTCCACATAATTACGTAAGTGATTTACTGTTCGAAAATAAGTGGATTCGACTATTTTGCCTCCGCCCAAATGACAGATCATTCTTGGATGAAGCTGCTTACAAAATGTTGTTTTGGTTTTGTTTTTTCCAAGTATTTTCCATACAAGCCCTTTTATTTGATGGCCCTATTAGCATATGTTTAATGCATGCTACTGCAAGTTTTAATGAGACTTTGAAATATACATACAAGTTAAAATGTTAAAGAAGTCAAGGTTTGGATTATTAAAAAGTTTGTTTTCCACCAATATTATGTTACCAGCTGAAGGTGATTCTTAGTCATTTACCAAGTTCTTCATTCTCCAAACATGTTATTTCTTTTCTTTGTAGTAGTTTTGAACACATTTTGATTTCTACATTATCACCAGTTCTGAAATTAATGGAAACGTTTTTTAATTATTATTATTTTGTAATTGTTACTCTAGCGAATGATGTTGCAAGAAGGATCAGAAAGCTATGGTTACTGGAAAGAACCACCAGTTCCTATTTACATTCGCTTCTATTTCTTTAACCTTACCAATCCTGAAGGGGTGTGGAGTCTCAAAGAAAAACCAGACTTTAAAGAAATGGGTCCATATACGTTCAGGTAAAAACGTAAATGGTTCTGATGTTTATAATTTGTTTCATTCACACTTGTACCTCCTATTCAACTGCAAACTTTTGTTGTGACTCTGTAACAATTAATAAGTTAAGTTGTTTAATTTGTAGACATATGAACATTTAAATAATATATTACGAACGATTACCGGTAAATTGTGTTTGTGTATTTTTCTTAATAATGCTCACCTAGGAGATATACGTGCTTCGTCAGTAATAATTATTCTAGCTATTTACTATTTTGACTTTTTGAACTGTTGGACATAAGCATAAATTACAATTCTCTATATACATTAGCACAAATTATAATTCTTTATATACATTAGCATAAATTACAATTCTTTATATACATTAGCATAAATTACAATTCTTTTATATACATTAGCACAAATTACAATTCTCTATATACATTAGCACAAATTACAATTCTTTGTATACATTAGCACAAATTACAATTCTTTATATAATTTACCTTGTTGACTCAATGTGTGGAATTTGACCTAGCTCAAATCTTCCGCATTAGCCTAACCATGTGATATTATTAAGAATATGGTCGAAAATATCGTTAATATGCCTAACCAATGTTTCAGTAAAGATTGCATCATTACAAAATTTTATTTTGAACTCTAATGAATGATATTCTATGCTGTTTTAGGTAACTAAGACTAAACTTAATAGGCATGTGGTGAATTTGAACTAGTTAAATATTGTCATTAATATAATTTCATATTTTGTTTGTTTTAACTCCGATGTAAGCTACCTTTTGATGTTACAGTGAAATAGTTAATACGGTATTAAGTCTCTTACATCTTAAGTTGTTTTTCCCTTGAGTGGTGTTAGATATTTTATTTGTCTTAGATTTTTCACGCAAGGCTACGCAAAGGTTATCTGCTTACAGTCGTCCCTAACATTGAACTGGTAGATTAGATAGTCAGCAGCACCCTCCGCCAACTCTCGGGCTACTGTTATCTGAGCGAACACTTCGATTTCACCGTCACTCTTAGAGTCTAACCACGGCTCTAAAGTGCGAATTCGCTTTTGCGTCACGGGTCCCGCACCGTAAATCGTCAAATTCTGAGTCCGGGTACGGCAATACTAGGCCACACACAGCCTCTAATTATATAAGCGACGCTTGAAATAATTTCTCAACCTCAACAGTGCGTGATTGACAGTAGTAATAACAATGGGAGAGTTTTGATAATCAGTGTGTCGACTGTGTGTGTAAAGTAACTTTGTACATTATATTATCTTGGTAAGTGATTATCACAAAGGGATTTTTGAAAGTTCTATGTAATTTATTTACGCCTCAACAATCAACAGCGTTACGTAAAGACAAATAAATTATAACTGATTTCGTGTCGCTCGATCTTCATTGGGCTGATACAGTGCTGTACAATTTAGTTTCCAATAATAACTCACTGTTTGTTAAGGGATTACAAGACAAAGTTTGGTATTTTTCTGAAAAACAATCATTATATATATATATATATAATAAATCAATATATTTTATGCTTAATTGGTTCCTCAAGGTTTACAGACTTATGACGCTAAAATCTGGAGTTCGAGTACCCGTGGTGGACAGAGTGCAGACAGCCTGTTGTATAGCTTTTCCCTAAACCAAAATAACAAATGTTATCAAATGTTTATTGATGTTTTCGTTTCGATCAGTGTCGTACTGGTATTTCCCTTATTTTAACAGGTGCTGTTTTTATTCCTTGATTAATCATCGTATTGGTTGGAGTACGGTAAATAAATGTATACAGTATTCATGAAAAGAACTATTTATAATAACTTAGATTACTGTAGAAAGACGTTGTTTACCGTAGAGTAATTATGATTTCACTTGCAGCTTTTTTCATTCATTTTGTAGATATTTACGAAATGTGTGTATGGCCTGGCATGGCCAGGTGAATAAGGCGCTCGACTCACAATCTGAGGGTCGCGGGTTCGAATCCGCATCCCACCAAACATGCTCGCCCTTTCAGCCGTGGGGGCGTTATTATGTGACGGTCAATCCCACTATTCGTTGGTAAAAGAGTAGCTCAAGAGTTGGCGGTGGGTGGTGATGACTAGCTGCCTTCCCTCTAGTATTACACTGCTAAATTAGGGACGGCTAGCGCAGATAGCCCTCGTGTAGCTTTGCGCGAAATTACAAAAACAAAACATACGAAATGTGTAATCATTTCTCCATTTTAATGCAAGAACCAAGCGTGCACGAACCAAGTTGTCCAACCTTTCAGTACATGCTTTTCTTACGTAAGCGTCCTTCATTTCAGTGTTTTTATGCAAGATTTCGCTTATACTACATTATCTACACTTGACCTGTATACCCTTAGGGACTGTACGTGTGTAATCATACTACATTATATACACTTGACCTGTATACGTTTAGAGACAGTACGTGTGTAATTATATTGTTCAATGTTGCAACAATAATACCTTTCTCTCTTCGAAACCTTATAACACTAACTGTATATACTGTTACACAGAAAATATATGTAGGAACTTAAAAGTACATACTACACCATGTTTCGTTGCAACCACTGTGTTTCACTGGCATCACTAACATAAAATAAAAACAGAAAAGGCAATGAAATGCGATATGAGTAGGTTTCGCATTTCGGCTTAAACAAACGACTATGTAGGTGTCTTAAATTGCAAGATATGTGAGAACGTTTACGGATTTAATTTAAAGTCGTGGACTTCTCATTATAGAGAAAAGCATTGAGTGTAAATGTGTAGGTAAACTGATAACTTTTGAGTTTCATATGTCGAACAAACAACAATACTGTGTATGTATGATACACAAACATAAGATTTTGCCTCCATATTGCTCAAATAAATGTACTTGAGTGTTAGTACCTCGATATATCGTAAACGTACTTTCATATATGTAGATGTAAGGTTTTTTTACATATTTTAGCTCGACACAATAATTCCCCCTAGTTTTCTTTACCAACAAGTCTGTTACACTGACATTATTACACCAGTTTTTTTCACTCATTTTACTCTGCAAAAAATTAAAAAAAAAGTTTGAAAAACTTAATTTCTCACGCACAGATTGAAAAAGATGACCTATATTTTACATTTAATGTGTTCCAAGGCGTCTGTTTTTCTTCACATTTTACTGTAGAGGTAGAAAATTCATTAACAAATCAAAACACCCCTATTTATTCATTAGTTGGAGTCTCCCTATTTGTTCCCCTATACCTTTATGTTGCATTTTACTTTTTTTTGTTTAGTTGTTTAAAATTGACTAACATTAAATAAACTTCCAAACCTAAACACCGAAACTGTCCATCAGAAAGTACACTATTGTAAATTTTAAACTTCCCAATGTCGCTTGCTTTCTCTTGATCTTTGTTTTATTTCATGTTTGTTTGTCACTGTGGATTGTATTCTATGTATTTTCACTTCTGACATTTTTTCTATTATTACTTTTTCAACTTGAATAAACTACTTTGCTACTTTGAGTATAATTCTCTTAAGTTTGTTAGTTTTGTTAACGTACGGTGAATAGTTAATTGTATCTGATTTGTTAGCTTTCAAGGTGATATTTGTATAATTGTTATTTTTTTCTTAATTCTCTATGTTCAATTTCTCTGGTGATAGCGCCCTCTGGCAGCAGGCAGATGAATAAAATGCAAATAGAATGTTTTAAAGATTTTATAGTTATAGAAGAGTGGGCAATAGTTACTATATAGTTGGTATTATACGGTTGGGACTAAAGAAAACTTCACGAAGAAAATTGAAACCAGTTTAAATATTGCTTATTTCAGAGTAAGACGCTAGATGTTATAAATCAAATAATTGCTTAGTCACATTTGTCCTATTTCGCATATCCAAGCAGGATATCATATAATAGTTAGTATGTTTGGAGTTTCAATCCGAGAATTAATGGTTCACGTCCCGTTGCCGAAAAAATCGCGCTTCACACTTTCGGGCTGTGGGTACATTATAACAGCGACGGCAAATCCTACTATTCCATTATAATAGCCCAAGAGTTGGCAGTGGGTGCTGTTGACTAGTCATCTTCTCCTTTAACCTATCAGTTCAAAATTTTGAACGGCTAACTGAGATAGTCCATGAGTAGCTTTATGCGAATATCCGACAAACACACATGTTTATATCTTATAAGGCAAAATAAAGATCGCTTGGTCTAACGCTGTATTTCCGCTCTACATTTATTACTTGTGTTGCTAACTCTAATTAAAAGCATTCTTGAAAGGTTTCGTCTAGATGTTCAATAAAAATTTTTGTTATTATTTCGTAAGATGAAGGAATTTTAGTCATTCTTTGCTCCTCTAGAGTCAATGACTGCTGAGGGTCCAGAGGTGAACGATCAAGTAAATACGTTACATTTAAATTTTGTTTACCAGCAATCAAAAGGTTGACCGTCATGAAACAAAATATAATTCAAGTGTTTGGGTCGATAAATTCACCATATTCTATGTATACAAAATGCAAAAGAAATAATACACCATAAAACAATATTTTGATACCAAACAAATACAAAGATTAAAGAGAACAACTTTCGTGTTTGAGGTTAAGGTGCACTTAGAAACGTTATTTCGACACAGTCTTCTCTCCACCATATTTCTTAGATCGAGTTCCTCGCTTCGTCAGTTCAGGCTTACCACACTAACTTCAATGTATTATATGTGTATAATTCGGTGTATTGAATTTCGCATATGAAAAATCGTTTTGAACGTTCTTTCAAAGGTATCTTTTAAAGAGACCAATTGAAACACTTTGCTTCGAGAAACTTTGGCTCAGGTATGGTTAGTGGTTGGCGTGTCCGAGCTGTGAATCCGTGGTTTTTGTCCCGCTGCTACTGCAAAAACAACAACAACAAAAAAAACACTATGCACTTTGGAGCTGTGGGTACACTATAAGAATCTCAAATCTCACTATGCAGTCAGATAAAGTAGCCCAAGAGCTGGTGATGGATGCTGTTACACTTGATACCTTCCTTCCAGTGTATCAGTTCAGTAAAGACGGTTAAGCGCAGACAGACTTTTGTGTAGCTTTGAGCTAAAATTTTGAAAAAAAAATCTATCGACCAACAACTATCACTTATTAATTTTAACTTTGATTGGCTTTTTTTTTCTATCTTGGATCGTATGTTAATATTATGTTAATCTTTGATTTCTCCACGTCTTATAAAATGTTTACAGTATTTAAAAAAGTATTAGCAGGTAACTGTTTGTTCTCCTGACAGGGAGCATCGTTTAAAAGTAAACATCACTTGGAACAAGAACGGGACAGTCTCCTATCAGCAAATCAAGAGCTGGTATTTTGAATCAGATCTTACAGACGGTTCTTTAGAAGATATTGTCACAACCCTCAACGTTCCTGCTGTTGTAAGTATTGTATCTACCGTCACCCTTCATGTACTTATGTTCTAAGCATTGTATCTATTGTCACTCTAATTGTTCTTAGTATTGTAAGTATTGTATTTACCGTCACCCTTCATGTACGTATTGTTCTAAGCATTGTATCTATTGTCACTCTTATTGTTCTTAGTATTGTATTTACCGTCACCCTTCATGTACTTATTGTTATAAGCATTGCATCTTTTGTCACTCTTATTGTTCTTAGTATTGTAAATATTGTATTTACCGTCACCCTTAATGTTCTTATTGTTTTAAGCATTGTATCCATTGTCACTCTTATTGTTCTTAGAATTTGATCTACTGGCATTGTTAATGTTCTTTTTTGTTATTAGTAGTGTTTTTATTGTCACTATTATTGTTCTTATTGTCGTAAGTATTGTATCTATCGCTATTCTTCATAAGTTATTGTTGTAAACATTGCATCTACTGTTACTTTTAGACTTCTTATTGCTATACTTATTGTATTAATATTGTTACGT